TTCATATTCGTTGGCATCACCTTTACAGGTCTCATCTCCACCAGTCAAGACGGAAACTCGTTATGTAGCTGTTGGGGGCGACTTAAAGAACCTTCAGCCTGGAACTGTGAGGGAACCCGTTATTATGATGCAGCGTCCTCAATCTGTCAATACAAAGCAATTGGTATCCGCTACCACTAGTATGAGTTCATCGCCTCCTGGATCCGTTACCAATTGGTATCCTTCTACTAGTGTTGAAATGATGAGGTCCAGTGGCTTTTTGCCCCACATTCCTAGCAATTTGAGTTCAAATCAGATGTACCATCAGTTTCAGTATCAACAACAGCAGCAGCTTGTTCCTGGAAGCAGCCCAGCTGATCCCACTGGAACAAGCCGAGGGAATAACATATGGAGTAGAGCAGGTGCATCTCCAACACTGGCTGCTGCTTCCTCCCTTGGACTCTTCTCAGGGTTGGGCTCAGCTGGCTCATCAGGGGCATCTGCTCCGGCAGACTGGAATGCTGGTGGCGGCTCATGTGGACATATAGATTACACCAACATTGACTGGAGTTTGGATAGAGGTCTGTCTTCGCCAAGTCCCAACGGGTTGTGGACAGGACTCCCTTCTATCATGAAGAGCAATATCAACTTCTATGATCCAAAACCTGCTGGGTTGGGTGGTCAGCCTGGAGTCAGAACGGCATCCTCAAACATGAATGTTGTTTCCTTTGTGGGACTGCAGGATGGAGCTGCTAATGGTGAAGCATCAGCTGCGGGTTCTCGAGATTGGACTTCTCCATTTGAAGGAGAGGATCTTTTTAGCGCACCCAGACAGTTTGTTTCTTCTTCTTCCCGTTAGGTGAGAGGAAAGTATTTCAATGAATAAAATTTAAAAAAAAAGACAAAAAAAAAATTGTGCGTGGATTTGATGTTGGTGTTGATGCTACAGTGTTAATTCTTGGTGGATAACCTTTTAGTAGAAAAGCATCCCAGAGTCCTTTGCTTGATCCTTCGTGTTTCATAGTTTTGTGCATTTTTGGGAGAGAGAGAGAAGGGGGTTGATAGAAATCCATTAATCCCAGTTTTGACAAGCAGGCCCAGTAAATTTCCAATTTATTAACCTTGGATAAAGTCAAACGCAGGCCCAATAAAATCGATTGCCGAATAAAGAAAGCCCGAAAGAGATCTCCGTTCGGTCGAAAGGGATGTGGTTAGTGCTTGGGTGAGGCCTAAGATTGTGCCAACAAGTCTCAATAAGGAGCCCAATTTCATTTTGCTATTGGGACGTTCACCATTCTTCCAGTGATCTGAGCCCAATTTTACCAATGGTATCACTTAAATCCTGATAAAATTTCCATGTCAAGGAAAGCTCTGCAATCATCAAACTTCTCTCTCACCATGGGGCGTTGCTAAATTATGTCTAGAAAACCAAAAGAAACAGCACATAAAATAAATTATAAAGAAGGGTAAAACTTTGATAAGTTTAGGTTTGGAAGTTGCAATAACTTAGACAATTGGTGCGAACTGCGCAAGCAAGAACTTTGAAAACTCTAGTTACTAATCTTGTGTACATTTTTTTTTTGGCAAAATAATCTTATGTACTTATTATTAGCAAAATAATTTTTTACGTTCGAGAAAATTTATTAATTAATAGTAGGAGAAGCAGGAAAGTGTTTTGTTTGAGGGGTTTAGTAATCATATTGGTTTTATTCCAATTCCTTAAGGTTAATAAATATTGTAAGGAAAATCAACTTTATTCTTATTTCGGTTCGAGACATTTAATAAACACGCTGATGGATTACCAGACTCTGATTCCTTCCTATAACAATTCATCCTTGCTCCGATTCCTTCACACAATACTATTCATTCTTGCTCCAATTCCTTCACAACCTGATTTCATTATTGCTTCGATTCCTTCATACTCCAGTTCTTTTTTATTCCCATTCAAAGTACATAAACAACTCCATTCCTTCAGACCAAAAAAAAAAAGGTCCTGCCATCACTCATAAACCCTCGTAACATTTTACTATATTGAGAAGGATGTGACTATTTGAACTCCTATTTCTCAAGGGGAAAAAAAATAAAAAATTCAACGTACCCACTTTTATAAAGGAAAAAAAAAAGGGATGTAAAGTAAAATAAGTGGCAGCAATTTTTAATTTTTAATTTTTAAGAAAGGGTAAAATTGTGAATTAGGCTTTGTAGTTGCGTGGAATGAAGCAAATTGGCGCGAGAAGTTTGAAACATAATCGTTGCAAAGAAGAGAGGGCAAAAGTGTAAATATAGACAAAACGCGGTTTACTTTAGGCTGGGCAGCGGGCAGTGAGTAGAGAGCACCTAGAGACGTGAAAGCTACGAAACTGGTTCGCGAGAGAAGTGAAGAAGATAATGAATTGAGAAGAAATATAGCCGTTGGTTGTAAACCCTAAATCCCCAAATTCAAATAACCCTAATCTCTCTCTCTTTCTTTCTCTCTCACTCACTCACATTCCCATTCTGATAATCAATCACACGCTTCGCTCTTGGCCAAAACCCACTTGGCAGAAACTGAAAACCGCGCAACTTACTTGTTCAATTTTTCTTTCTTCGTTTGTAGTTTCAGTGTTGATTTAATTGGTTTGGTGACAATGAGGCTTGAAGAGTTGAAGCTTAATCTGAATTCTTTGAACAATCGCAACCACAAGGTCTGTGCAAAACCCAATTCCGCCCGTTCTTTCAAACGTCCACGTTCCTCCGCTTACGATTCCGATTCCGATTCCGTTCTTTCAAACGCAACCACACCATCCGATGAGATTAATCTGTCGCCACGAAGGGCTGCTCGGGTTGCAATGCTGAAGGCACGGTTTGCAGGTACCATCTTCAAAGCCAGACAAGAGGTTCTTTACAGTGGCTCTAATGGTCTTGAAATCACCGAAGATGAGATCAAGATGTTTAGGGCTGCCGAGATGATGAAAGCCAATGAGTACATCAAGGAGCAACGGCAACGAGATAGAGAAGCTGCTCGGCTTGCCCTCGAAGAGATGGAGAGAAATGTTGTCATTGATGATAACTTCAAAACGATGAGAGACTTTGAGATGTTAATTTCTGGCGCCAATTGCTAGCATGTGGAGATATTGGAGACTGCTAAGCTAAGAGTACATGGATAGATAGATAGATAGCTACATGTGATTAGGATTTTGACATATAGGAAGAGGCTGCAGCATGTACAAAGTGCTAATGAGTAAGTCTACTGTCTTGTAGACATTTCCACTGTCTGTGTCTGTATATTTTCAAATTATAGCAATGAAAGAATATTTTGTCTCTTAACTTCCAAGCTCAAATTATAAACTGTCTGTCGGATTTTGTCTCTTAACTTCCAAGCTCTAACAATCTAGGTTAGATGGGAACCAAGGTTACAGTGTCTAACATGACAACCGTTAAAGGTGCAAACTTTCTTGACAAGAATCAAAGATTATAAAAAAAGTGAGCCCTTTCCAATGCATTTCAGTTTTCAGCTATTCATGCAATCAATGATCACGAAGGCAATAACTGCAGGTGCTTTCACTCAGTGAGCCACTAATATGATTTTCTTAGCTGCCATCTGTTACTGTAAAAGTATTAAAGAAAAGCTCTATTTCTTCTAACAATCTCTTATCCCGAAAATCTAATCCTACAGAATCCCTGTCTAGTATATAGAGATGACTCAGATGACATCATGAATGAAATACTCACAAACTTCTCCCGAATTGTACAAGATAGTGACCACCACCCTTCCTTCTGCACTTTCATCTTGACTGTTGGCAATGTACTTTTGCTTTATGCACACCTGCAGTGTATAAAATAGCTGCGTTATCTCTCTGTTAATCGCACTTCCTTGCTATTCGACTTCTAAATCCTCAAGCATGACCGGAATGACAAAGGGTGGAAATTTATGGTAACCTTCAGCCAGTTTTCATTCTAAAACCAACTGGACAAAAGTACACTTACTCATTGTTACATTTGGAGTTTAACAAAAAAAGAAAAGCAAGGAAAGCTTCAATTTAATCCCTTAACGTGCCCACTAGACAAGAACAAAAACCAAGGGAACACAAAATGCAAGACATAGAAATGGTCACATGGAGCAACTGATTTACACTAGCAATTTGTTAGGTCTTTAAGAATTCAATAGAGCTCAAAATAAAAGTAGAATTTGGGTGCTCAAATAATTTGGTGCAAGAATCATGAAATAAAGATCTCATCCACTCAGGAACCTTATGCAGTTTTAACAATGCGACTGTTACATGATTTGTAGGCTTGTGAAGATTATTGAAAGATTTTGATGCTAAGCATAGGACTGCTAGAGACACTTTCAAGGTTTTCCACAATCATCCAACTCCAATAATTCTTTGAACTCACATTTGTCCCTTGCATTGGAAATTCCCACCCCAAGATCATTGATAGGCAGAGGCCACAATTCATAGCCACTATGAGGCACTGTAGAGAATTAGGCCTTCGAGGTCAGCCACTACAGACATTACGTAATAATCCATAGTGCATATCAATTCCTCCCTAGTTCTATAACTCTGATTAGATATTCTGGTAAACAACTCCAACAGGTATGATGAAGCAACCAAAGAAGGAGATCCAAAATGCATTAGTCTGCATAGTTCATGGCAGTAGATTCAAATAAAGGAAATAATCCTATGTGGCAGTAGATTAAAAAAAAAAATGCAATTGTATATGGTCGGTTGAATTTAATAGGATGAACTAACCTTCTTAATGAGCAGTAATTTATAAGAAGCACCAACATTAAGACTTCTCCACACCTTATAAAACCTGAAAATAATGGTTTTAAAGCTACTATGAGCACTTGATCCGCAGAATGGTTAAAACTTAAGGGAAAAAAAAATGCCAATTACTAAGAGACATTCATGATACTACCCATCTGCAGCTCGTAGTGATAATTATTAACTACAAAAGAAGACAGCCTTTCTGATTAAATTCCTGTGGCAGCAGGCAAAGCTGGAATCAGCAAAATTAAGTTAATCACTGTCATAGTCGCTGCAAGCCAAGAGTCATCATGGGCAAGAGTTCCATGGTGCACTGAGCATAAAGTTTAAAACTTAAAACTAAGACGGCTGTGATATCTGTGGGGACTGTGTATATGTTGATATACAATAAAGATTGTGGAAAGCATTACCAATACCAAGCAAGCATCACTGGTATGAAACAGTGATAAAATTATTATCAGGGATATATATGTTTTAAGATCAATAAGATGTAAGTTTTAAAGATATTGTTGGAAAGATTTTCGTTATTAGAAGTCAGGGGGTGCATAGATCATATATGCATATTAATCTATTGAGACTTCACTGTATACTCTAAATCCTAGCCATAAAATTTGCAGATAAACAAGGTCATGCTGATTCACAAATTTCCCTCCTCTCCTTTTCCCTTTTTAATCATTCCATGATGATGAGAAAGTTTGATATGCAAGGGCAAAAAATGTAACCAAAATACAAGGATAAGAGAATTTCAGGTATACCAAAATTTGACTTTCAAATTCTTGTCAGTGAGAAACAGTAAAATACAAGGATAAGAGAATTTCATGTTTTAATTAACAATCCTTCAATTATACTGTAGTTGTACCACAATTAATTAATGAGCCATAATCAAGTGCGATTATACTGAAATCATACATTGTTTGATTACTGAAAAATACAAAATTAATTTCACAGTTTTCCTTCATTTTCTCAAGAATCAAATAGGAAATAAAGCATTACCAAAAGTATTTATCTAAAATCTCAAAATTGGTTTACAATTTCACCAAAAAATAAATAATAATAAAATAAAAACGAACACAGGTTCAATTTGAGAAACAGTAGAATCAAGTTCGATTTCACCAAATTCGTCCAACCTTAACCAATCATGCACTGTTTGATTACCTAAAAACATAAAAAATCACAACACTTTCCTACATTTTCTCAATAAGCAAACAGAAAAAACAAATCATTACCGCAAATTTTAATCTAAATCTCAAAATCTCAAAATCGATTCCGAAATTCACAAATAAACAAGTAGAGAATTGATAAATGCGGAGGATGGAAATACCATATAATCTGACGGCGATTCAAGGCCAACGGATCGGATGAGAGGCGATCGGAAACCCTAGCGACGAAGTCAGCTCAGAGCGAAGCATCAGCCGAAGCGCAGAGAGCAGAAATGAGATCAACGACTTGTCGTGCGATGAGGTCGTCGTGGAAGGAAGAGAGACCTTGAACGAGAGGCGAGACGAAGAAGAGGGTCGGAGATGGCAGAGAGAGCGTAGGACACGTGGACGGTGGGAGATTGAGGGTTGAAAAGAAGCAGAGCAAGCAGATTGAGCCGCTTGCTGAATTTGAAGCGTAGTCATCTTCTGATGCTTGGTAGCGTTGGACGTGCTGTGACTGCGAGTCCTCCAACTCCATTTTGCGAGTGTGTGTGTGATGCGAAAGTGTTTGAATTTTGGCGCCAGAGAATTTCGGGTTTTATTTATCACACGACAGGGCCTAAGTACTGTTCAAACCAGCCGAACAAACTAATCCCATTCCCATCGGTTTAATTTGTGAGTTGAAAAATTGTGTAAGCAGTTGCACCAAACAAAATAGAATTTGTTTTGTGCAATGGTATATATTTTGGTAATCAAATTGGTTTTGATTTCAATTTTTTTACAATAGTAAACGGTTATAATGAGTATCCGTTTTTATTTTCATTTCGATTTTTGACAATCATTATGATTTTGATGGGAATAAATTTTATTTTCATTTTGATTTCCAACAATTAGTAACCAGTTTAATTGGAATGTCTCATTCTGATTCTTGATTAGTAAACATGCTCTGGAAGTCTAAAAGAGTGTGTAATCTAAAACCAAACTAGAAAGGAAAAGCTTGAGTTAACTAGACAAGAAGTTGAAAGCTCTTTATTTGCTTTATTTTTGTTATCAAATTCTCCCTATGTTATGAAGTCCACTTATATATATATACAGAGAGCTTCCATTGAGGGATCCCTCAAATAAGCTTATTTGAGGGACACCCCTTGTAGGGCCCACTCCAGATTGTATTTCACTAATCCAAACCGTCTATTTTGTAGATATACATTCAAAGATCATCTCTACAAAAAATCACTTGAATTCGATATCATTTGATCATTCAATTGAGTTATTGAAATTTTAATACTTTCTTGAAGCACCGTGTTCATTGATTTTGTAGGACACAATTGGATGTCGAAACGGTTTCCAAATTGTCTAATTTTTTGTAAGGATGATCTATGAATGAAGACCTAAAAAATAGATGGTTTTGATCATTGGAAAAAAAATTGTAGGGTTTGTGGCCACCCACCGTTGGATGTTAATCTAACGGTTCAAAAAAGTTTCTTAAAAGGTGTGCAAGAGTGAGTGAATCGGTGAATTTACATCCATATATATATATATATGCATACATATGTAAAAGACTATTGCTGCTCGTCTATACTATTTATTATTATAGACCATTTTTTCAAAAAAATTAGAAAAAAAAATCGAGTATCGCTGCACGGCTATACTATTTTCTAATACTTCTTAAAAAAAATTAAAAACTGAGTATAGCCGTACGGCTCGACTATTTTTAATATAAAAAAAGAGGACCCCCAACCATTAGGCGCCACGTGTCAACACATGTTTTTAAAAAAAAAATTAAAAACATGGAGTAGTATAGCTGCGCGGCTGTTTTTTTTTTTTTTTTTCCTTTTCTTTATAAAGAAGAACCTCTATCGATTAAAGCCACGTGTCAAAATCAGTACAGCCGACCGGCTAAACTATTTTTTTTATTAAAAATTGTAGTATACGCGCACAGCTATACTATTTAATAAAAATAATAATAATAATAAAGGACCCTCCTAGTTGCATTAGTTTGTACCTTATAGATATTAATTTGCAATGTATCCAAAGTAGATATTAATCTTCAACTATATGATATTTTAATATAATTTTTGTAACAGATGTTATTCTTATTTAATAACATGTTAGAATTATTTGTATAATACGTGAATTTTGTGTGTCTTACTGAAACTTTTGTAGAAAATACATGTTTAAAACATTATAAATATGTACATACATGTATAATACGACTATTGTATGTTTGCTTTTTAAAGAAAACGTGAGACGTGTATAAAACACAAATGTATTACTGAAAAATACATACCTATATATAAATATATATATATATGTATGCATACATATATAAAAGACTATAGCCGCTCGTCTATTCTATTTATTAAAGACAATTTAAAAAAAAAAAACAAGAAGTAACGCCGCCTGGGTATATTATTTTAAAAAAAAAATTAGAAAAAAAAGGGTCTAGCCGCACGGCTATACTATTTTCTAGAGCAGCTCACTATGTGAAAATAGTATAGCCGAACGGCTATACTGTTTCAACAAATTTTAAAAACTGAATATTGCTGAACAGCTGTCCTATTTTTTAATATAAAAAAAAGCGTCACGTGTCAACACATGTCTTTTTAAAAAAAAATTAAAAAACGTGGAGTATAGCTGCGTGGCTGTACGCCTTCCTCCCCCCCCCCCCCCCCCTTCTTTTTTTCTTTTTTTTTTAAAAAATAAAGAAGAACCTCTATCGATTAAAGCCATGTGTTCAAAGTAAGTATAGCTGGCCGACAATACTTGTTTTTATATTAAAAAATCGTAGGATAGCCGCACGGCGATATTATTTAATAAAAAAATTTAATAATAAAAAGACCCTCCTAGTTGCATTAGTTTGTACCTTATAGATATTAATTTGCAACATATCCAAAGTAGATAGTAATCTTCCACTAAATGATACTTTAATATAATATATTATTCTTATTCAATAATATGTGAGAATTATTTGTACAATACGTGAATTTTATGTGTCTTACTGAAAATTTTGTAGAAAATACATGTATAAAACATTAGATATACATACGTACATGTACAATTCGATTATTGTATGTTTGTTTTTAAAGAAAACGTGAGATGTGTATAGAACACGAATGTATTGTTAAAAAATACGTACCTACATATATATATATATATATATATGCATATATAAAATAATATAGCCTCTTCTGATTTTTTCAAGGCTTTTTTCAGAACAGCTTGATGGCATAAACTTTTCAATCACTTCTCTTATGACAGTTGCCATTGTTGACTTTCCTAATTAGAAAAAAATCCAGTATAGCTGTACGGCTATACTATTGTCTATATAAAAAACAGAATCTATTTTTTAATATAAAAAAAGAGGACCCCCACCATTAGGAGCCACATGTCAACACATGTCTTAAAAAAAAACAAAAAAAAAAACATCGAGTATAGCCCCGCGGCTGTACTTTTTTTTTTCCTCCCTTTTTTAGTTTATAAAGAAGAACCTTTATCGATTAAAGCCACGTGTCAAATATAAGTACAGCTGGCTGGCTAAACTATTTAATAAAAAAATTAATAATAAAAAAGGACCCTCCTAGTTGCATTAGTTTGTACCTTGCATATATTAATTTGCAACATATCCAAAGTAGATATTAATCTTCCACTATATGATATTTTAATATAATTTTTATAACATATGTTATTCTAATTCAATAATATGTGAGAATTCTTTGTATAATACATGAATTTTGTATGTCTTACTAAATTTTTTGTAGAAAATGCTTGTATAAAACATTATAAATTTTGTAGTACCACCACCACTGCCACTGCCACTGCCACCGCCACCACAACCATCCACCACCACCTCCAGTTGCACCTCCGTCACCACCACATGATTAGGATATAACACTTTCAACTTTATTTCGATTTTGATAATTATTCACAGTTACTACAATTTATATAAAAATTTACCAAAAGTTTTAACATAGTTTTTTTTTTTTTTTTTATATTAACAACATTTTTGAAATATTGTTTACCAAATGTAGAGTTGCTTTACTTTACAGCTAATTATTTTTGAAGCACGACAAAAATCGCTTTTTTTAAATGTGATAGGAATCCCAAACTGGCCCTAAGAGTATTTATCTTTGCACTTCAAATGCTAGGTTCGATACCCCTCTTCCCCCCACTATTGTTTGTATAAATAAATAAAACTTCAAGCATGGAATTTTTTAAAAAATAGATAATATAAATCCAAAAGTTATATCAATAGTTGGATGTACTCCTTGCATTATGGCCCCGTTTGGGATTGCTTTTGTCCCCTAAAAATCAGCTTCACTTTAAAGTTAAACAGTTTAAGGTGTTTGGTAAAAATAAAATATGTTGATTATTTTAAAAGCAATGGCCTCTTGATAACAGCTTTTAAAAGCAGCCTCTAGGTTGCTTTTCTGCTTTTAAAAGTTGCTCTCACAAGAAGCAGAGAATAGCATTTAATAATAATAATAAAATTAATTCCCATAATACCATCATTAATTTTTAAAAATGACATCATCTACCACCACCACCGTTACCTCCACCTCCATCGCCGCCGCCACCACCTCCACCACCGCCATCACCTGCCACCACCATCACCTCCACCACTACCATCGCCACTGCCACAACCATCACCCATCACTACCTCCATCTCCACCTCCACCTCCACCTCCACCTCCACCATCACCACCACCACATGATTAGCACATAACACTTTCAACATTATATCCATTTTGGTAATTATCCACTAATGCAACAATTTTATATAAAAGTTTATCAAACGGTTTAACATTGTTTTTTTATACTAACAACACTTTAAAAATATTGTTTACCAAATGCATTGCTGCTTTACTTTACAGCTAATTATTTTTGAAGTACGACAAAAAAAGGCTTTTTTCAAAGTGATAGTAATCCCAAACTGGCTCTAAGAGTATTTATCTTTGCACTTTAGATCCTTAGTTCGATTCCCCTTCCCCATTATCGTTTATACAAATAAATAAAATTTCAAGTGTAGGCTTTTTTTTAATTGCAAAATTGAGTTTTCCTTTGTTGTTCATTTGGCTTCCTCTTGTTCTCCATCAAGATAATTATGTTTAGATTTCATAGATGTTTAGGACTTTGTCTAGCTTCTTCATCTCAGATTTGTTGATTTCATTATCTGTATATATCTATTTATTATAAGGGTTTACGTATTTGCACTTATGTTTGTCATTTTTAAATTTTAAGTCATAGCCAATATGATATCGATGTAGATAAAAAGATAATCTACCTATTATATTTGTGAGTATTGAGTATTGTATTGTACCTAATATGAA